CCACAGAGAATTCAGAAGCTGAGAGCAATCTGACAGCAAACAGCCAACTTCAAGATGAAAGCCCTTGGCCTGAGGTCAGAGCCGGCCAAGCACAGCGCCCAAAACCAGAGGACTGTTTCTTTTAAATGTAAGACTATAAATAGGGCAAAGCCCCAGGAAAACACTTAGAAGCAACAGTCATCACCTCCCTTGCACCCCCTCCTATAGGGCTCCCCCCACCCCACTAGAACCTTTCAACACTTGCTAATTCCCACCCTCAATAATTCTCTAATACCATGCCATCTGCAATCATCCTAAGGGCTCTAGTAAAACTCTCAAAACGATTCAATAAAAATCCACTTTAACTGTTAAACTCTAACTAGAGCAGTTAACTGAGGCATATTTACCGATTTAAGAATTATTATTATCTCGGCTGCCCTCAACTTTGATCGGAACATAAACAAACAGGTCATTAGGAGGGGACCTCTTTCTTCCATTTCCTCTCAAAACCCCAACTTCCCTACTTTCCACTTCTGCAGTTCTAGACAGTGAGGATCCAAGTTTGAACTAATGACGTGGAGGCCTCCGTGATCTTGGATAATCAAAAGATCTATTGTGTTCCCTTTACTTACAAAGGCAGTTAAGTGGACCAGTGTGCTTTACAATTTCCAACGAGGCTTGAAACAAAAGAGGTTTTCATGTTAACCCTCAATTCTCAAAAAAATTCAATGAATGTGCCCCATTCTAAGGGCATCATTTGGTCAGATCATTACATCATTTGGTCAGATGTAACTTTTGCACATAACCCACAGTTATATTTTCAAATTTTAGGAGGAGGATTGGTGTTAGAAACACGATGTCAGAACCTCAAAACTGGAATCAGCTTGACTACTGTAGACTGGAACATGTAAGAGAATAGGAAGGGTCCAGAAAATAAAAGGAGCGGGGTCTGGCACCCACGGAAAACCTCCAAATAGGATAATGCAGTTTGGAGCTGGCAAGGAGGCCAGTAGGATCCAAGAGGCTTCTGGGAACTGGTCAGCTATGTGAGCAGTCTAGGAAAAACCAGTTAGGGATGGGGTGCTCCAGTGGAAGGCAGGACATGGGGCGACCCCTACCACACCCCTGGGAGACATGGGAATCTCAAGAGCCACAGCAGGAACACCTCACTCTCTCCCTCCTTCTCCCTCTTAAGCCCTCCTACATCCAAGACTCCGCTTGAAGTCATCACCTCCTGAGAGCCCTCCCTGACCCCTTAGGCTGGTCCTGGAGGCCCTCAGGAACCATCACATCATAGTGGGTTTATTCTTCCTTCTCCCCAGCAGCCAGTCTGAGCCTCGTGGTGTCTTAATCCATCTTTGCACTCCCAGATCCTCGCCTAGTGCCTGGCACATAGTGGACACTTAATAAATGTTCGTTGATGAATGTTCTCATGTACTCTGGGATCAACCCGCTTCAGTGTGAAACCTGATTCTATACTATATAATCCTGGGCAAGTTATATCATTGTCCTCATCTATAAAAGGGGGTGGTCACCAAGATTAAATTAAAGTAAGAATGTATAGAACGTGCTTATTCAAAGCTCTGGTGCACAGGGAGTTCTCAAATCCTTCCTGTTTATGATCATTGCACACTGGAGGTGAAGGTTGAGACTGCCCCCCTTCACTGCATCCCAACCCTTTGCTCTTTTGTGCTACCAAGGGAGGGGTGGACCGATGCTTACCGCAGTAACAGAGGAGGTACTGGCTTGGCCAGGCCCAACACAGGAGGCCAGCATGCCAACGCCTGTTCTAGGGGAAGTAGAAAATAAAATTTCCCAGCTGACCGAAGTCCAGCTGAACCACTCCACTAAGCTCACTTACAGACTACCCATTCAACAGCTTCACAGGCCTAAGAAGCAGGGCAAAGGTGTACAAGGAGTAGGCAAGCCAGGTTCCCACCCCAGACTGTGCCCTCCTGCTGTGTCACCAAGGCCACTTCAACTTCCCTGAGCTTCAGTTTCCTTATCTGAATTCATAAGGTTGCTGTAAAAAGTACCTGAACTAACGTAGGTAAAGCACTAGGTCAACGTGTGCTCAATAAACACAAACAGACGGGGGAGACGTGCTCGTTTTAAGTGACATCTGTAGGCATCTTGCATAACGCTTCTACTTGCCCTGATCCTCACTGGACCCTCACTTTGCACTGAAGAAAGAGGCAAAGTCAAATGGCTTGATGGGTAAAATGGCCAATGCAGATGTCAAAACAGGCCTGTGCCCACTCTCTTTTATAAAATCCACATACCACTCACAGTGCCTAACACACAGGGTGCTCAAATCCATGCTAACTGCCCTAGTGGAAACCTCTGCATGCAATTCAGGGAAGAGGCTGGGGAGGCAAGGGTTCAAGGTGGTTCTGAAGGCAGGAAGGAGGACAACCACAGGGTCTGAGGCTGCTGCGGTAGAAGCAGGGAGGGTAAGCATTTGAAAGTCAGGCAGGAAGAACCAGACAACTCGGTTGGGGCGGGGTGCCTATAAGACCTAATGAAAGGTGAGCAGTGTGTTGTGTTAACTCCCTTTGCACATATTTGAAAGCACATGCAGTTTCCAGTGTAAAAAAAAAAAACCCTACTCAGTCTGCACCCCCCACTTCTAACAACCCCTCCCAAGAGCCCGCCCCTACCCCAGGAATTTCTAGCTTGGGACTTCTCTAGGATTACAAAGGTGACTCAGAACCTGACAAAACACAGAACCTCAGGTGGAAATGCCCCAGGCCAGATGGGAAAGAAGTTTGAGTTTTCCACAACGGAGTCTTCTTTTTTCCTTAAACCAATTTCCTGGGGCTGAAGGTAATGCCTCAAGTCACATAACAGAAAGCAGAGCCAGGCAGATTTCTGCAGACTAAAAAGTGATGCTAGCAGAATGCTTCCGCTGGTCAGTGTTCACTTCTTGGGTTTTTCCTATGATGGGAGGGGAAGTTGGAGAAGGTTGGAGAGTTTTTTGGCCAGGGATGGGGAACAGGGCTGTCCATGATCCTCTCCAAATCAGATTGGCCCGATGCCCACATCTAAAAGTTACCTGCCTGCTTTTGGGGGGCAATCATCAGCGGGTTTAAGAGGACCCCCAAATAAGAGGCTTTTTGTTGACTCGAACCCCTTAAGAAAGCTAACTTCCAAAGCTACCACCACCAGCTGCACCCGGCTGCCTTACCCTGACCACCCCCCTCTTCCCTTCTCCGTGGGTTTTGAAGTTTATTTTCCCACATTCAGCCTTGAATTCTTTCCTTCCTTCCCCTGCTGTGGCGAAGAGGGAAACACTTCGAGGGCAGCTTGATTCTTTATCATCCCCGCCTGCCCTCTTCCCCCTCTAAACAAAGCCCTGGAACAAACTAAACAACAACTGCTCTCCCGGGGAATTGTTTCCTCAAGGGAAATTATAAAGTGACCCCTCCCCAACGCACACACACAGGGCAGACACTCATCCACAGAAGTTCCTGCTATTAGCAGCCAAACCACCCCAATTACCGGCTGAATTCCTCCTCCCCACCAACCTCACCTCCCACGGTCACCCACTCTGGGGACTGCTAAGGGCCCAGAGGCTCTCCCCACTAAAATGCAACACCCCTAAACCTCCCCTCTCACTGGCTCCTGGGAGGACAAGTCTTCACCTGCCCAGCTGCTGGTAGGTACCTATATGCTCGGGTGTGTGAATGTCCATCGATTTAAGGACAATGAGGGGGCAGCACAAGCAAGACATGCTCATGTTTTCCACAGCTTTCAACCTCCCAACAGTCCAGGGCAGGGAAGACAGAGGAAGACGGGTGCATTCTCATTTCACATACGGGGAAACTGAGACCAGAAAAATGAGAGACAACTAGACAATCATAAAATGTTGGGCCGCTGCCGTAGATTAAATGTTGTTCCTCATCAAACCTCCTTTCTCGCATCTTCCACCCCAAGAGTGGGGTAGGACCCCACTCCACAATCTAGAGCCGTCACCAGCTCTTTATACCCAGGTCCTGGTCCTTCCACCAGAGAGAAGCCATTAGTGCAGGCCAGGGAGGGTGGGTGCTTAAGGCTAAGAGCCTCTGAGAAACTGGCATGGAGGACCCTGGGCCCCAAACAGACCCAAGATCCCAGCCACCATGGTCAGCCCCAGTTTATTCTAGTGAGGTCAAAGCCATCCATAGAGCACGTACCAGAAGATAAGAGCTTCTCAATGTCAACACGGAGAAGAAACTATACCCCACGGGTCCCCTTCTGCTCAACCTCTCCTTTCCCCTAAAAAGGATTCCCGGGGTTTTGTTCTTTTGTTCAACCTGCTACTTTCACCAACTTTAACTCCAAGCCCTGGGGGAGGAGGGGAGGTGTCTCCATGAGATAAGCCCTGCCGGAAGCTTGAGCGCGTCCCAGGCACTGCGGCCATCAGCCCCCCATCCCGGGGGGGGGGGGGGGGGGGGGGGGGGCGGCGCTCGGGCGGTATGGAGCCCCCTACCCACTTCCCGAGCCCTGGGGGTGCGGGTCCGGGTGCGGAGGAGCCTTTGCATAGCTTGGGGCTGTGGGACCCTCCCGCCACTACGCCCGGCTCACGTTCCCGAAGAAACACAGGGCGGGCGCGGCACTGGCCCGGAGCTGGGAGGTGGAGATGCGAAGGGGTGGCACCCGGCTCCACTCCCGAACTCCGGGAGCGGGAGCTTCTCAAAGTGCAGATAACCGCCTTTATCCGCCCTACAGCCCCCCTCCAACGAGGGAGGTACCCGCACACTCACAGGGAGCCATCGCGGGGCCGGTTCACCCAGAGGTCAACCCCAACGTCTCTCTGGACAAACGGGGTTCCCAAAGAGTCTCCGCGCGTGGGTGACTCCCGTGTCTACGGGTGAACGACAGACCTCAGCAGCCAGACCCATGTGAGACATCCTTTCCTGCCACCCCCAGGGCTGCCCGCAGGGACTGAGGGTTATCCAAAGCTGTGAACGGTTTCCCTTCGGCACTCCTAAAGCTCTGGCCGGCTTCCAGTGTCTGTAGGGGCACAGACGGCGGCTCACCTGCAGGATCTTATCCAGGCCCTCCTGGCCCAGGCACGGGAACTCCTTGAGCAGATGCAGTTTCTGTGTATAGTAGTTTTTCTTGGCCTCTTTCCAGTGTGGCTCCTCGAGCACCTCGAAGATCGCCGCCCCGATGGCCAGGTAGAAGATGATGGCCGAGGTGAGCAGTGGGCCCCGGTCCACCATGGCTCCCAAGCGGCCGCCTCCTGGAGAAAGGCTCCCCTAGCCCCTGCGGCTCCGGGTCCACGCGCCCTACAGCCTCTGGAAACAGCTGTTTGAATTTGGAGCTCCGCATGCGCAGTGCCCTGTTCCCCCCCCTCCCGCCCCCGGCGCCTCTCTCCGTACAAAGTTGCTCCGCCAAGTTGGCCCACCAAGCGCGGGGAACTGTACGAGGACTTGCTCCCGCGCGGGGGGGCGGGGGGGGAGGCTGGTGGGGGGACACCAAAGCGGGACAAGGGGGCGCCCTGGCTCGCTGGGGTAAAGGGAGCCGGGGGAACTCAAGGCCAGAGTCTAGGGAGACACGTGGGCCGTCCTCCGCGAGCCGCAGCAGTATGCGCCGCACCCGCCTCCACGCGCCTCTTTAACCAGCGCCCAGCGCGCGCGCCCTCCCGAGCCTGATCCCGGGGGTGGTACCAGTGCAGGTCCCGCCCCTCGTCTGCACCGCCCCCGCTCAGGCCCGCCCCGCGCGGGCCCCGCGGCTGGCCGGCCGGCGGGAGAAGTCACCGCGAGGTGCGCACGGGTTCGGTGCTCCGTGCGCTGCCGGGGGCTGCCGCCAGGGGAGGCTGCGTGCCCCGCGGTGCCGGAGAGGTTGGGGTCTCTGGGGCTCGCGTTTGTTGTTAGTGCCGGTGGTATTAACTAAGATGAGTGTGTACCTAATGACTGGGGTCAAGGAAGTTATTACTATTGCTATTTTCGTTGTAACTCAATTTTCGTCCACTGCCGTTTCTGCCAAGAAAGCTTGATTCTCAGTCTCTTTCTCTCACCCCCTCCTGTAAACCAAGGCTAAGTGTAAGGTTAGAAAGGTACTGGAGAAGCTGTAGAGAATCAGGATATCAGGGACTAATCCAGCCACAAAGGTGAGACTCTCCCCTTTTACCCCATTCTCACCTGCCCTGGTGAGACGCCCACATCTAGAAGGAGCTGTGCTTTTGGAGACACCTCCCAGCCCCACGCACTGTAACTCTCCAGGAAACACTTAACCCCTCCCTATTCCGAAGCCTACTCTGCAACCCTCATCCACACCCACACACATGAGCTCATCCCCTTGTTGGAAGATACTTTCTTCCTAAATTCCTTCTAATGTACTATGTAACCAATACACTATAGAATAGTAAAATGACAGCTGGCCCTGTGGGGAATCTGGATTGTTCAATGACATATCCCCAGACTGTTACATAGGAGACAGTCAGTAAACATTTGTGCGACGAAGGAGTGAATGAATTTGTCAAACACACACACTGAGGATACATCTCACTCGCCTTGCTACCATTTACCGAGGCAATACTCCAACCTTCCCATGCATCCCAAGAACAGCCTGTAATTATACCAACCTTGCAGGGAGGAAAAGGAAGCTGTGTTAGGTTAGTTTGTTCAAAATCTCTAACCAGCAACAGCCAGAAGCTGGAGTGGCACACTCCAGCACTTGGTACTAAGGGCTGGCCCTGACCCTCTCGGGGCCTCTGAGGGGGCCAGTGCAGTAGTGGGCCAAATTGGTGCACTGCCCCTGGTCCAGGCCTTTTTTTCCCCCCTGTGAGGGATGTGGGGGGCTTTGGTCAGGTGTCAAGAGTTAGGGCAATGTGGAGGTTCCTCAAAAAATTTAAAAAAGGAATTACCCCATGACCCAGCAATAGCGCTATTGGGAATTTATCCAAAGGATACAGGAGTACTGATTCATAGGAGTACATGGACCCCAAAGTTTACAGCAGCACTTTCAACAATAGCCAAATTATGGACAGAGCCCAAGTGTCCATCAACTGATGAATGGATAAAGAAGATGTGGTTTATATCTACAATGGAATACCACTCAGCAATGAAAAGGAATGAAATCTTGTCATTTGGCCATTTGTAACAACGTGGATGGAACTGGAGGGTATTATGCTAAGTGAAATACGTCACTTAGAGAAAGACAGATATCATATGACTTCACTCATATGTGGAAGTTGAGAAACTTAACAGAAGACCATGGGGGAAGGGAAAGAAAAAAAATAGTTATAAACAAAGAGGGAGGCAAGTCATAAGAGACTCAAATACAGAGAACAAACAGGGTGGAAGGGGTTGGGGGGGGTGGGGAAAAAGGGTGATGGGCATTGAGGAGGGCACTCAGGATGGGCACTGGGTGGGTATGTAAGTGATGAATCATGGGAATCTAGTCCCGAAGCCAAGAGCACACTGTATACACTGTATGCTAGCTAACGTGACAATAAATTATATTTAAAGAAAAAAAGAGGGCAGTTTTTACTGAGAGGACAAGGAGGTATCTGTGGTTTCTCCAAATTGGGCAGGAGAGGGTCTAGGGATACAGGTTTGAAGGATTGATCCAAGTTTATGGGTGTTTCTGTCTCTCCTTTATGGCAACCTGTGTGTGTCCCCAGGATGCCAGAGCAGGAAGCCCCATGTTCCCTGAAGACTTAGGGAGCCAAGCCTTTTCAACAAGGTCTTTAGGTGGCCCCCTCTAGAGCCCACCCACTCCCCAGCCAGGCTTCTGCTCCGTCCCAGAAAGACCCCTCTCTTTAATTCCTGCCTGCCTCCTACCCACCCTGCACCACACTCTGCAGTCCCACGCTCCAGCCCTTAGCCCATGAAGAGTCCAGGCTTCTGTCCCAGATCCCCTCTCTCTGGAGGGAGAAAGGAAGGGACTTGGTGTGAACAGTTCATTTAGCGGTGGTGGGGGCAGTTTGAGAGGCCACAGGCTCTCTTTCTGTTTGGGAAATTCTCCACCATTCCTCTCCCACCTCCGGTCTACGTTCTTTTCCTAAGAAAATAAAGGGCCTCTTCCTATTTCAGTCTCGCCGTCTCACAAAAACACTGCAGAATACTTTGGGGTGAATTGGGTTTTATTCAAAAGCTTTATAATTTCTAGTTTCTCTATCTTTCCACTTTGCCTATTTCTCCATTTCCCAACTCCTTTCTTTCTTGCCCTCAATGTGGTGTTCACTTTCTCCTCATCTCTCCTTCTGTGGCCCCATTCCTTAACTTCCTGTATTTTCTCAAACCACTTGACCCAGCTCTCCATTCTCATGCCTCTCTCCCCTTCCTCTGGTTCCTTCCAGAGTGAATGTGCTTCCCCTCTTCTCCCTTACCTCTTCGACCTTCCTGGACCCCATCCACACATTTGGGTCAAGAATTATCTGATAGAGATCAGGAGCTAGGCCTATTCTCTGCACAGAAGCCAGTGGGGGATTTTGGAAATATAAACTGTGCTGGAACCAATGAATGTCTAGACTACTTGTGCCTCGAGGATGGAAAAATAAAAGTAGGTGAAAGGTGGGGGTGCGGGGAGTGTATCTTCTTATACAGCTGATGTTGGGAAGCAAGAATTTCCTGTGCCCTTCTGGGTCCTTCTAGCTGGACTAAGAAAATCAAATCGACAGGGGACAGATTAGCAAGAGAAAACCAAATTGAATTTCCTATGCACAGGGAATCCACACAGACATGGAAATTCCAAAGACAGGCGAAACAAGGTGTACATGAACTAAGGAGAAGGAGGTAGTGGTCTGGGACTTCAAAGGGAAGGAACGTAATTCACAGGAAGATGAAAAAGAGTAAATGGTTGGTAAACAAATGTTTGCGAGGTCACTCAGAAACATAGAGGACTTTGATCAAACAAGCCTTGCCAGATTCCTCTACCATAACTAGTTCATTCTATAATGTAGATATCTGTGGCGATAGCTCTCTTCCTGGAGCAGATTCTCTATCTAAATTCTTTGTAGGCAGTTGAGGGGGAAGGTAAAGAGCCTTGCCTAAATCTGCTGGGTTTTAATTGCTTAACTCAAAATCATCTTAATGCCAAAGTGGCCCATCTTGGACTGGCCTGCCCTTGCCCACTACAGTGATGTGGACTTATTTAGCCAGTCTCATTTATCAGCTTATGGCTGATAATCATTTCAGAGTGCCATCTTTTGCAAGGCAATCAGCTTTGAGAATGGAGTTTAATTTCACCTTGATAGCAACCGATCACTAGACTTACCTGGGTCCGCCTAGGAGAAATTGACAGAGCTGATCAGTTGTTTTCCCCCAAGTCATGTTCCCAGGCTCTGGCCACAAAAGGATCCACACTTACCCTTGGTTCTTCCTTGGTTCAGTTAGGTGAAAGGGTTATCCTCTTGGTGAATGAATCTTTGATAATCCTTTCATAATGCTACGATACTTATTGTTTTATTTCTGTTTAGGAATATTTCTGTTTATACTGTTTAGGGATTTCAAGGGGAATAGTTCCCCCTCTAAAATTCATGTATGATCTAAGGAAACGTATAAAAAGCCATTAAGAACATAAAGTGGTTCAACATTACAATCACTTGAAAACCATGTTTCCTTAGGAAAAGCTTTGCAGCTCTCATTTCAAAAATCTAAAAGGTTTTATTTTCATTTTTGTTCTTGTCATTTTCTTGAAGGATAGACAGTTTTAAATGCCTTATAAAATTAATTGCATTATGGAAGATTGTCAATTACTTTATAAACTTGCTCTATTTCATACGGATCATTTAGAAATCTGGGGAAAATATCTGTTAAATTTTCATGTCTACTAATCCTCTGGTTTTTCAGTTAGAAAGGTTCTGAATAGTAAATTCAGTGGATCTGATAAGATAGCCTTCATGTTTTATACTAGGAAAAACAAAATAAAATCACAGAGCAATAAAGTTGTAGTGGAAAAAAATGTAGTGAAAATGGTATATACATATAATGGAATATTATTCAGCCTTTAAAAAGAAGGAAATTCTGCACATGCTACAACATGGATGGACCTTGAGGACATAATGCTAAGTGATATAAGCCAGTCTCAAAGAAGACAATTACTGCATGATTCCATTTATTTGAGGCATCTAAAGTGGCCAGCTTTTAGAAAATAGAATAGTAGTTGCCAGGGAGTGGAGGTGGGGGGTGGGGGGTGGGGAGGAGGGAAACAGGCTGCTCAATGGATATAGAGTTTCAGTTTCATAAGATGAAAAACTTCTAAAGAATTTTCTGTA